CAGTTAACCTCTGAAAAAGAACATTTCGCAACTGCACTGTGGCCCTGCAACCCTCCGCAACAATCACAGAATTTGTTATCCTCTCTCCACCACCGCCATCCTCTTCCAAAACGCGATGATGCTCCTCAAGGAGAACAAGACAGCAATCCATCACTAGCGTCCCATTCAATGTAACATAAATGAGAAAATTTGACTTCGGCAAGGAAGGGTTTAAAGGCGTTTTTTCTATAAAAAACTCGGACCCATAGGGTAAGAGAGGTGCAGAGGATGATGATGATGATAGTAATGGCAACGACGGTTGAATTGTTTCAAATTGTTCACTGTCCACATCTGTCGTAGGGTGAAGAATAACGTGCTCCAGAAAACACTTTCCTTCAATCCGTATTCTTCCCTGAAGAATGCCGCCTGCCGATGGGATAGGCGATTGACGATTCACCCGTGAAACTCCGCCACGGTGAACAATTAGTGCATGATGTCGAACATCTCGGGCGCAGCAGTTTGAGAGATACATTTGAGATCCTGAAAGGGCATTAAAGGCAATATTGCAAGACTCCGCGGTACATTGGTGAAGATACACGTTCGCACCATCACCACAACTCACAGCACATTGGGCACCACCTCCAAAAAAGGCATTGTGAATAACGGCGTTACCCTTATCAATCGCAAAACATGAAGGAAAGAGCCCGGAAGGATTTGCCGAGGGTCCTGTGAGGTTTAACTCTGGTGGCAACTGCTGTCCCGCATGATCCTTACGAACCTTGATGTCCAGCATGCTATCTGTCAAAGTGTCCAACCTAGCGCCATCATAAACGTACAGTCCAATTCGAGAAAAGCCACTGAGCTTCACATGACCTTCAATGTGTACAATACCATTGCGATTCTCAATACTGTACATGCGAGCTGTATAACTGCCTCGGCGCACTGTGCATGTCCCATGGCTGAGGACAAACACGCCCACATGATTGCTATTGGTGCTACACCGTGACAATCGACACTTGGCGCTATCAACTGTAAAGCCATTTACAATATGTTTTGCTGTGCAATGGGAAGCCTCCAATTCTGTGTCAGGACCAATCGCAGCGTACCCAAAAGTCACGTGCCGTACCTCACATCCAATAGCAAGACAGCGACTTCCTGACCAGGCCTTCACACCACAGTTCTTTTGGGAGCTATACGCCAGAGAAGTTCCAGGCATTTCATCGTGTGGTGAATTTGCCGTGGTGGTATTTCCCATTTTGGCTCGATTCAAGCCTCCCTCACTTCCATCAAGAGCAGCAGCGGCAGCCCCCGAGGAGAAGGCGGGATTCGAACAATCCCTCCCAGAAGGAGAAAAATGACGACAAGAAATGTCACCAATGTTGGTTTCTGTGGAACCAGCAGTGCTGATGTCCACGGTACACTTCTCAAGACGAAGACACCCACCATTGTAACATGTAAACCCACTGTCAAGACTGCGCTGTACTGTAACCCCAATGCAAATTGTATCACTTGACCGGCTTTCCAGTCCATGTAAATGACCTTTCAAAACACAAGAAAGCCAGCCTTCCTTACACTTGGGAGCATTCAAGTTGTCCATCCGCAGTGTGGATCGATTGAGAGCAAAAACACCAACGTGTTCCGTATTAGCACCGCAGTGATGCAGGGTGCAATGAGCATCGTCTACGGTGAATCCATTCGTCCCACCCACCGCCATGCACTCCTCAAAACGAACAACAGTTCCCTGAATAGCTGCAAAGCCAAAAGAATAATCCGCCACCAAACAACGCTGCACATTAGCCCGGCTGTTCACAATCTTCACTCCACATGGCTGCTGTGGCAATGCCAGTGTTTTCCAGACAATAACATCTGTGAGTGTAAGAACACCCTGGTCGTAGACATAGATGGAAGTCTCTTGTGCGTCCACAAGGAGCAAACCCTTTGCCACCATCGAGGCGTCTCGAACCTCCAGACTAAACAGACCACCCCTAAAGGAAAGAGGGAACATTGACGCGCTTGCTGTGATTGCTGTCGCTGTTTCTCCAGAAAACATGTGAGACATGAACAATTTCCTATTCATGTCAGCCGAAGCAGAGGTCCCAACATTGGGGTGATCCATCTTTTCCTCGTCGCCCACTGCGGTTGCAGGTGACCTTTGTAAAACGATGGGGCAGCTGGAAACGGACGAAAAAGAACTGCTTGTCTCCGCATCTTCCTCGCCCAAGTGTGCCTCCACAGAAGAAAATTTTCGTTGCCGCTCCACGTTTTCGCGTGACTTCAGTAAAAGGCGACAGCGTTCGTCAAACGAAAGTACATGGTCATCTTCGTTCATGATGTTGCATTTCGCCTTATTTAGCACAAATACCCCCACGTGGTTGCTGCGGGCAGAGCTGTTTTCAATTGTCACGGAGGAGGCATCAATGGTGTAGCCGTTCACAACATGTTCTGCGTGGCACCCAAAAAAGTGTGAAACGGAATGGGCAATCACGGAAAATCCAAAGTACAGGTACTCCGCCACGCAATGACGGGCGGTGACAAGGCCTCCCAACTCAACATTAAGCCCTGTTGGACGATTCAAATCTGAGACTTGCAACTCCACGCAATCTGCACCATAAAAACGAGTGTTGGAAAAAAAGGCATGACAACCAAGTATACTAACCGCGCTGCTGTATCCTGCCATAATACTGCAGTCAGCAATATCTACGGAGGCATCTTGTTCTGCAAATATTGTCTTTTCAGTGCCATATGGCATGATATGGCAACCGCCATGTATGCGCAATGTCCCACTGTTAGAAATCAGGATAAATGCCTGTAACAAAAACGGTGCAGCTGCGCAGACAGGAACAGATTCCCCACCCTCCGTAAACGTGTATTCCCTGCGCCGCACTGTAGTACCATCCCGTATTTCCAAGGTGGAGGCATCAAGGACAAGAATCCCTTCTCGACGCGTTTCTGCACTGTCCACGCACACGCGACACTGTGAAATTTCCACACGCCCCTCACCTTCTGCGGAAAAGTGGCCAATGAACTTGCAGTCGTGCATTTCAAGAGTTCCAAGCACAACGATCGCACCGTACACCGTGAGGTGTTCCAGTCGAAGGGTGCATCCCGCCGGAATGGTGCAAGGAGCCTCCGGCCTCCGGCCCTGTTGTGCATTCGAAAGAGTATTGCTATCACCGGTGTTCATTGCGGCCTCACCCTCGAGAACTAAAACAACTTTTCTGCGTTCCTTACTTCGTTCAATCCCCATACAGGTAGATCCTTTTTCCTTGCCTCGATGTTTACTATGATAATGCGGCTTGTTTTCCTGCTCCGCATCATCGGCACTAATGGCAGGCGTGAGAAATGGCTGGCGACTGACAAACTTTTTTCTGTCCTCACCTTTCCATTTATGAGGTACATCACTGTGATGAGCCGTTAAACTAAATTCGCCGACTGCCTGTGTTGTATCGGATGCTATATCAAGCCCACTTTTTGGGATTGTTGTTGTTGTTAATTTTTCGTCTTTCTTTTCCCAGCCATAAGGGATTATTTTCATTGTGTAGTTTGGGATCGGATTGCCAGCAGTGGGTAGTTTGCATTTCACGGAAGGAGTGTCAACACCAATACGACGGCTTCCATCTAAGGAAGAGTGATACCCAACATCCAACTCGACATCCACCAATCCACCTGCAAGGAAGAGCTCCTGCAGTTCTTCCTGGGAATGAATGATTGCCTTCATTGTTGCCGCCTTTCCTGCTCCACCGTGGTATGCATACGACGTGGAGAGGGAAATGGAATTCGGCGACGGCGTGCTATTCATAACTGACTTTGCTGCCGGTGAGCCGTGTTGCTGCGGCGGCTGACTATCTTTGCGGGTGCATGCTCGGAAAAGATGTGGGTGGGACTGACGAATGTGTCGGATGCCTAACTCATGTTCTTCCCGCGTGTACGCCGATAAGGAGACGGCGGGTGCAGCAGTGGTCCCTATCCCTTCCGCTGCTAGCAATCGGTTTTGTTGGTTTCCACCGTCCCTTCCACTGTTGAGCTCATCCACCGCTACCCTGCTGTCATGGCTGAAGGGGTTCAGTGTGGCGTGCAGAGAGCGGATGAGAAGTGCGATTCCTTCGGCATCCACCGACCACTGCTGCGACATCAGCTCCAGCGAACATATGGCGCCGTGATGAATGAAGGTTGCAATGATCCGTGGGGCGATCACAAAGACAAGCGGCATACGTTGCAGCTCCTCAAAAAAGTAGATGCGTAACGAAACAAAAAACTCCTTCTTGTTTTCATCCTCGTACTTCAACAAGACGTACCAATTTGTCAAATCGTCCTCATCAATAAGCTCGATTAGCGCGCAGCAGCCCTCCAACACGTTGCTGGTGTTCTTTTTAAAGTACGCAAAAAGGCGCTGCAGGCGCTGCAGGTCTGATGTAAGCATACACGACGTGGAAACAAACTATGACCGATCGCAGTAATACAAACACACAATTAAGCGCGTGTGTACCTTGCCAAAAGTAGAAAAAAAAAAAAAAAAAAAAACAAGGGAGAAAAAAATATAATTGAAAGCCACTCGCAACTTCAAATGAAATAATAATAAAGAGGAGAAATGTTCGTGGCAGCCGTATCAAGTGAGAACATTTCTGCCGGTATGGCCGCTGAACCGCATGCCAACTTGCGCCGCCTTGACACCATTGAGGTTCAACAGCAAAAATAAATAAAAAAATAAACAGATGAGATGCCGATAACACCAACAACAGCAACACATTAATGTGGCAAATATCCCCTACGGAAAAAAAAAGAAACAACAACAAAAACAAAAAACAAGCACACAGATAAAAGCCAAAGCAACAGCAAAAAGTGGCGGAACACCAACCGCTCCCCTCAGTCTGTATGAGTCGACATTCATATACGTGCGTCTATCTGTTTCCCTTTCTTTTTTCGTTTTCGTTTCTCTTTCCCCCCCTCCCTTCCTTCCTTCTACAGACAAAGAAAAAAAAAAAAGAAAAACGTAACGGGGCAGCTACATCATCATTCAACGTTTATTCCGTCCACCCGTCGCAGACATCAACCCACTCGACAAAGCCCGAGAAACGCTCCAGCTCTTTGATGCTCATCGGGGCGGTGCTGTTCGCCGTGCCAGCTGCCACGTGTACCGTCTCAAAACGACGCAGTGAGATATCCAAGTATACCCGCACATTTTCATTCACGCCGAAGGGGCAAACTCCGCCCGGTGCGAATCCAACCAACTCCTCAACCTCCTCACGCCTAATCAACACGGGACGACGGACAAACTTGTTACGGTATTTGTTGTTGTTCACCTTCGCATCACCCGAGACGAGTATGACGATAGGTATACAATCCACGCCCCTCTTCTTCCCCATCAGCGTAAAGCTGAGACTCTTTGCAATCATAGAAGGACTGCAGGAAAGCCGCTCGGCAGCAAGCTCGGCCGTAGCACAGCTTTCAGGAAACTCGCAGATTTTGGGTATGATGTAATCTGCACCACAGGAGCAAAGATGTCGCTTTACTTTCTCCATATTCACTGTCCCGGTTATTTGGATGCGCTCCGCCCTCGCGGGGGTGTTGTTTACAAGTGGCACGGGAAAATATGGGAGAAGAAACACCGGTAGCCGAGCAGTCTGAGCCGCGACCCTTGCAAAACACACAAGACAAAACAAAAAGAGGGAGAGAGAGAGAGAGAGAAACGAAGAAAAAGTGATACGAACATTAAACACCAATAAGCGCATTCAGTCCATGCCAATTGTGGCTTGTAAAATCACAAATTAAAATAAATATATATATTCTTTTATTTGCCAGCACTTTTCATGTTTGCTCTTTTTTTTTTTTTTTTTTTTTTTTTTTGGCGTTGAACGCCGTCTTCCACGACAGCAGTGGCAAGAAGAAACAAGACGCATAACTCACATCCCTCACCACACAAACCCTGTGCTTGTTTCACTCCTTCGACAGTCACATCTGCTGCTTCAACTGCACCACGACGCGTGAAAATCTCGCAAACACCTCCGATGTGCGAACGGTTTTCTTTTTCTTCTTTTCCCTTCCCTTTTGCTTCCCGCATTGCTGTTGGCGCTCGTGGTGGCGCTCCAACAGACGCTTTTTATCTGCCTCCACAGCGGAAAGCACACGTGGAGCGAACTGGATGACACTGTCCGTCATGACATAAGTCTCTGGCACGATAACACCGTGTTGAACTAATAGCTCAACAAGACTCATCGTACGCCACTGCCAATGCGGGGCGGCAACCGTTGATTTCCTAATTTCTTGTGGGGCCACATGTCGTGCACCGACATGTCGTGTAAAGACGTAAGCAAGTTCAATAATAAACGGATGATGGGTCTCGTATGGTATGCGCAGTACGGATGAGAGAAGCTTCTCCACTAAGGCAGGAGACTCCTGCAGTGCGTAAAGTGACTTCACTCCACCATGTGTGTCGTTTAGCAGTGCTTCGTAAAGGGTTCTTGCCTTCAATTCAACTGCATTTCGCTGAGTCTCTTGGCCCTGCGCGCTGCAATGCTCAAGTGTGGTCGTTAAAATATGGTTAAGACTATCAAGTAATACAGGCATGGAGCGAAGGTCCATAAAACTTGTCGCAAACACCACGGGTGAGGAATGGGAAGAAACACCCGAATTAATGGCCTCCGTTTCAGAGAAATGGCTAACACCCTTACCACCCACAGACTCCAAATGTGGTGAAGCAGAGAGGAGCTGCAAATCTTCATCGTCGGTGTCCATATCCGCAATTGCCATTGCCGTCGATAAATCCACTTCGTGGCCCACGGACGTAGAAATCCAAGAAGAAGCGTCAGCACTTTGCGTGGTGCTGACAGAAGTTGGGAGGGCCACAGCGTCGGAGCTGTGACGTCTACGCTCATCCGCCGAGATGTAACGCTTTCCGCGTTTTTGCATCGCATCAAGTAGTGTCTGCAGAAGCAGGAGTGTGGTCTCAACGTTGCACGCCTTCACTTCACGCCGCCCAAGCAGAAAGACAACCCCAAGATATTGTCCGGAGAACACACGCAGGGCCTCGTGCAGCTGTGGTAAAAGCACCTCGGCACAGTCCGCACGGAACCAACGTATCTTTGCCAACGCCAGTGACAGGAAGAAAAATGTTGACGGAGATCCCTGTCGTGTGAGGTGGAGAGAGCCGTCACGCACACCTCGCACCAATCCGTCCACCACCACGTTATAAAAGGACGCATTAAGGATGGGGTGTTGACGCCTCGTTATCGTCTCCGTCACTTTCCTCCCGTCATGCAATCGGATCTGCGGCCCCAGTCCGTCACCGCCAAGGAGCCGCACAAATTTGGCTTGCCACCGGGCAATCGCATCCAACAGCACGGCAAAGGCGCACACGTCAAACTCACGGACACTTTCAGCAGAAGTAACACAAGACGAAGAAGTTTTGGAAAAAAAGGCAATGCCTGCTTGACGCACTGCGTCCCTGGCAATGTGCACCTCAATGTTGTCACGCAGTGTTTCCAAAACAGCATCCGAGTGAAAGACTTTCTGTTGCGCAATGAGATGCAAAAAAGTTGCGCTGCAAAAGGGACTAAGTGAGGCCGCGCGAGCTGCGAGCCACTGCATAAGCAAATATCCAAACTCTGTCACCCACTCCACACTGATGCCATCATGCCCCAACTCTCGTACCAGCCTGGAGCTCTGCTGCACCTCATCCAAGTTCGTCTTGGCCAACGCACGTAACACGCCCTCCAACAGTCTATCGCTGCGGAATGAAGTAAACGCCACATTATTATCACCCACCTCACCACGTGCTTCTTCATCTGTGATAATAACACTCACCAACGACGTTTCACGCAGTCGACGCCATACTTCCACAAGGCACTGTAGCATCTGACCAACATGCTGCTGCCTGCACTTTTTTTCCAGCGCAAAAGCGAGCTGTGCTCCTGTCATTTTACTAAGGCGTTCACTGTATGCCGTCGAGAATGTGACGGCCCCATTGTTAGAATCGTCACGACTACTCCTTAGCCTCAAGCCGCTTGCTTTATTCAATGATCCCAAATCATTCCCGCCGAGCGTCAACGGTGCACTTTTCATATCGGATGCTGCCTGAACCCGTGCCTCATGCGGGGCGGGAGCGGGTCCTGTTGCCACTGGTGCCCCGTTCGATTCGTTCAACTCCGTAAACGCCTTCGCCAACTCGGAGAGTGACAGGCACCGCACCGAGATGGACACCCCCGCTAACGAATTTGGAAAAAAAAATCCATTGATTCGTGCGGAAGCAACTGCACGCATTTCTCCTTCCCCTACTTTTGGCCCCTCCGTTCCTTCCCTCTCTTCATGCACGGGAGAAATAAAAATAAAAAATACAAACGGGCAAGAGGAAACACCCACACAAATTCACAGCAGTTCATTTCTTGTACCATCACACATCTTCGCCGTTGCTATCATACAAAGCTCCGTTCCCTCTCGCGCTCTCTTTTTTTTTTTTCTTTTTTGCATTAAAGGGAACTAACGTTACTTTCAATGAACACATATAAACACGCAATTCAGCAAGCAAAAAAAGAAAAAAAAAAGGAGTGAGTGTAAAACAATGAGTAAAACCAGCTTGTTTACATTGCCTTTACATAAAAAAAAAAAAAAAAAACAGTCAATGAAAAAAAAAAAAAAACACAAAAGATGCCGACCTCAACCATCTTACGCCACACTGCTAGAGATATCATTAGGTGGAAAACACACCAATAGTCTTATGTTGTCCACTTTTTCGGTGTTTGTAGGCGGCACCGGCACCATCCGCGGGACGGGAATGGTGTTTGCCAAAATCTGCTCAACCCCTGACACCTTCGCCGCCACACCACCACCCGATGCCGCCACCCCCAAAATATCCCCGGAGTCAATCGGTAATCCTGAAATGGCACTGCCTGATAAATTGCGCCGATTTCCAGTGAGAGAGTTCATCCTTACACTGGGCTTTAGGCTCCCTCCGCCAGTGCTGCGAAACGGGTAGAGAATATCCCTGCCAACAAGCGTCACCCCACTGTCGCTGATACCCACAAAGGTGTTTATAACCTCCCGTAGGTAATTTCTCCTTGTGAAACTAAAGACCTTCTGTCCCAATCGATACGGATCACTGATGATTGGATCATCACCAAGGGTTTTCCGTGATGCAACAATGTCTAGCACAAGACGGCATTTTGGGCCATTGTGAGGTGGAATCCACTGCTTCGCCAGATTCTTCATAACGGCTTCCTCCTCCTCCTCACGTCGCTCACGATGCGAAGCACGTGGTAGCGCCCCTTTGGAAAAAATACTTCTCCCGGCACTGCTAGCGGAACAAATGTTCATTTCCTGACGTGGATTGGCAGCCGGAAGCGAGGGTAGCATAGACCCCAGAGTTTTACGCAAGGTTGTATGGCGTGCTACATTATCCGCATGGGAGTATAAATGCAATAATGTGTTCGTAGAGAGCGCTGATGAAAATGAAATAGCAGAACGGAGCGTATGTGCATGCTGCACAAAAGCCGGCATCTTTTTCCAGCGTTCTAAAGCATCGTCAAACGCCTTGCGGACGGCAGCCACCATGGAGTCAACAAGTGCAAAGATGTTTCTTTCCGCCTCCAAAGTGGTGTCGCTCCACCTGTACTCGTAAGTTGCATACACACAAAAGAAATTCAACGGATCGCACGCCAGACGGTCACGGTGGTTTGGGAACAGAATCACATTATGTCGGTTCCTTCTTCTACGAGGTGAGTCGTTGGAGAAATCCATATTCTTTGTTTGTGAAAGTGTCGTCGTCATTGTCCCGCCAAATTGGATTGTTGACATGGCGCCTCCCAAAGTTCTTTCATTCATCTCTCCTTCCTTCTAATATTCGTTTATTTATTTATGAAGTGTGTGTGCAGCCAATGGGGCAAGCAACACTTCAAATGACCAACGTAAAGGAGGAAAGGGAGACAAAAAAGCCCAGTCCTCGTTTTACTTATGGGGAATAACGCACCAAATAATTAATAAATAAAGAGAAGGGGGGGGATTAAAGACCAACAGGCACAGCAGTAAACACAACAACAACAAACACACACAAAAAAAGACAAGTATGGTGACAATCCCTTCAAAAAAAAAAAAAAAAAAAAAAAAAAAAACTGACCACAGAGGCATTTCTCTCTCCTCCCTTTCCGTGTCTGTAAGCCGTTCATATCTTCGATCCTACGGGCATGAAGAAATAAAACGCAAATATCACCGGCGTATGTGAAAAAAAAAAATAATAATAATAATAATAATAAATAAATAATAACAAAACAATCTTCACCTGCTTTTGGCCTTTTTTTTTTTTTTTTTTTTTTTTATATCTCCATCCCGCTAAAAGTTTTTTGCGCTTTTCCGCAAGCTGTTCACATCCTCTTCAGTGAATCCCTCGCGCAAAAGACACGCATAAAATGTTTCCACTTGATCCTTACAGGCATCAACGCCCTTAAGAATAACGCATTCGTCACGCGCTCTTCGCTCTGCGGGGCATGCACAGCATATTTTACAGCCTGGAGGCCCGGCCGACTGTTTCGCCGCCACCTCCTTCCCCGCCGCCATTGTTATTGGTTATATGGAGTTTTATATGAGACTGGAATAGACCTTGAACAAGCTGACAGTTAGTCCACAAAACTAAAAAAAAGAGGAAAAAAGCTTTTAAAAAAGATATCGCAGACACCAAAACCATTCGTCGCCCGACTATGGCACAAACACAGAGAGAGAGAGAGGGAGAAAATAAAAAGGCTGGGATTTTCGTTGAAAAAAAATTAGAAGGCAACGTTGCTGACCCACATGTGCGAAACACTTATTTATTTGCAATGAAAGACTCCGGCTGCCCCCATTCCCTTCTTGCTTTTTTTTTTTTTTATTTGGTTCGCCTTTCCCCCTCATCCTCCTCCATCTCCACCCGGCACACGCAGACACACACACAGAAACAAAGTGGCCTAAAGAAGTCAAAAGGAAAAGTTTTTTTTTTTTTCTTCCCAAACCTGGGTCCCTTCGGGCAACCGTATTGTTGATGAGACGCCTCCAACCGCACGATGGCCCTCCGCCTGCATCGCCGTCATAATGGAGAGCCGTCGGCCGAGCGGCCATCTTCGAGCACCTCCTTCGCCATACCGAGTTCGTCTAGAATGTACTGGTTGAAACCGTTGCCGGCAATATTCGGTAAAAATCCCTCAAACACACCGCGGTCAACTTCCGTGCAGACAAAACACACCGCCTCAATCTTATTTTGGAGCCGGAAATCAAAAATGTGATTTGCATCGGCTTCCATTTGCATCGACACCGGTATAAAACGCTCCACCCGGAAAAACTCCACGGGAGGGCATGAAGATGTGTTGCCAGTCGTCCTTTCCTCCTGCTCCTCGTTACATATTTTCGTTTTCTCCCCTGCTTCCGCCCCGCTGCTACTGCTCAGGTCACGGCCAGACATTTTCGCCCCATCACTGCCAGCCACGTGAGACTCCCACTCACTGCTCAGCTGCACTGCAAAGATGCGCACAAGCACCGGCACCCCAACCTTTTTGGCGGCAGGAAAGACCGTGTTGTAAAAGACGCGTGGCTCGACACTTGAAGCGTCCAGGAGAATTGCAAGCCGTCTCCGCGGATCGCTCAGATTCGTTAAAATAGGCGGGAAACGATCCTTCACAGGGCCGTTATGACCGTGAGTGCTGCTCTTGGGGCCCCCACCTCGCTGGTGGCGCCAAGGCTTTGCTCTTCCCTCATTCCGTGTTTGGTTTTCCCCCGTCACGTCATGCGGAACGGTGATATCATTCAAAAGAGGTTGACTTGTGGCAAAGTGGGCGGCGGTCCACCGCGGCGTGCGTCTTATCGACAGAACAGACTTTGCCACAACACGTCGCATAAAAGCTACTTTGGCCCGCACAATAACTGCAACAAAGTCACACAACGACGGTAAAGCCGAAACTTCTAAAGAAAATTTCAACGCGTGGCGCAAAAAATAAAAAATAATAAAAAAGAAGTAACGGAAAAGATAAAACACATCTTTTTTTTTTTTTTTTTTTTTGATGCGAGTTGGCACGACACCACTACAGGCAGCATCACCAACAATAACAAGAAGAAGAGGCAATAAAACAGACGCACATACACAAACACCGCAAAAAAAAAAAAAAATGCCACGGTGCACTGACCACGCGAGAAGACCAACAAGAAAAAAGAGAAAAACAAAACAAAACTGGGGCATGTTCCAGCAATGGCAGATGCGCGTAGGCTTCATCTCCGAAGAGATGTGTCAACCACCCGCACCAGCGCCCCGTCAGAAACACCGTAAAATGCAAGGCTCTGCAATTCATTGTCAAGCTCCGTAGCGCGTTCAATTACGGCATCATCACCCGAAAAGAAAGAGACTCGTTGATTCGAAGGGGCTACGCCAAAAACGGCACGTATGAGCGCCTTGAGTTTTCCCACAGTCATCGAACTTGGCACTGTCTTTTTCACGTTCTCAAAGCCATCACAACAAATGTTGAGATGAAGCATCATGTGCGTAATGCCGTCGTGACTCGCCGTCTCACCTTCGCGGTAAATGGCCATAATGACATCCTTGTGCTTTTCTTGCAGAGTTTCCAAAAGCGGATAATGCGGTAGCACCCACTCCTCTTGTTTTTCCGACTGCTGCTTCTGCTCCTGCTGCTTGGCGGCTAGTCCACGCTGTACGTAAAAAATTTCCGAGTCCAATCGCTCCTTGGGTCGCACTTGTCCCCGGTTGAGTGTAGTGATGCCTGGCAATGACGCAACAACGTACATGCGACCAAGTGATTCATTCCACTGTGGAAACATGGCGCTGTATGTAATGCGAAAAGTGTGAAGATGTGGACATAATTTTCGCAGCGTTTCAAGCGTACGTGGGTCATTGATGGTTTTGTTGTCGTTCACACAGAGCAACTCCAGGGGCCAAAGGTATGCATACTCGCCAAAGCCAGCAGCAGCGGTGGTGATGGAGTTTGTTGCTGTGATGTCATCGTCGTACAAGTTGGTCATGCGGTTTCCCGTTAAAAACAGTCGTGTCAATCGTGGAAACGCCGTTGTCAAAGTCTCATTGAGGCCACTCTCACGACCCCATGACGCCAACTCATTTTGTGCAAGACTAAGTGTCGTTACGTTAGGAAACCAACAGTCACTTCTATTGCCAGTACTCTCCGCATTTGCCTGAATGTGGGGAGTGGATGCTTCCTCCGCTTCCGTCAACAGCTTTAGGCTGCGCACGTTGTTCTTCTCAAGGTGAAGCTCCTCAAGCGCTGGAAGATCCACAATTACCCGAAGCTGCCAAATGGAACGCAACCCCACATTGTGAAGCACCAACTTCCGCAGCTGCGCAGACATCAGTAGTGGTTTTGTTGGCGTGACTGTTGTCGAAGCGGCTTCAAAAAGGAGAAGATCCGGATTGTCCGACAGCTGCAAAACTGTGAGCGCGGGAAGATGACAGGCAATTATGCCTATCTCCCGCATGGACAACGATGGATTCTCAGAAATGTCAACTTCCTGCAGGCGGTTTAGCGCCGCCGCCGCCAACTCGCCTTCTGCCCGCTCAGCAGCTGTAATGTTCATGCCACGAAGAACGACGTGGACGAGTCGCGTGTGGTCCGCCTGCTTCATCCGCGTTTTCTCCATGCCGACAAGTTCCCACTTCTTGTTGCGCCGGCGACTGGAGTCCCCAACAAGAAGGGCATCCGTGCCGTATAATTCGCTGTCGTCCGGCGAGCCGTAACGACTGCGGATGGCATCCATGAAACTAATGACCGGAGAAACCATCGCGTGCCGCACCTTTTCTCACCCCACGTCTTCACCAGCTTGTTATTCCGCTTCCTCAGTCTGTTTGAGGCCTCGTGCGGGGTGCACCCACCGCACACGCACAGACACACACGAGACAAGAAACAAAAAAAAAAGAAAAAAAGCGCTGTTCTCCAGCAGTGACGCCATTCCCACCATCGCCAACGGCAAAATACCTCCGCGCACACACACACACAAAAAAAAAAAAAAACAATATCCACCGCGCTCGGAGCAACAAAACGAAACAAAAATAAAATATGGAACAACCGATCACACGGACACGCACAAATAGCAGCAACAATGAGATTGATGAGTTTATCGTGAACCCCCCAAACCCCTCGCCCTTCCCTTATCTCGCGGTGCATTTGTTCATGCTTTGTACAACTGCTCCTTGCATTTATGCAGCATTCTTCTCGCTGACGCCGTTAAAAAAGGAATATTGCCGCTATCAGTAAAAGCACACCCCACGGAGCTCACATCCGGTGCCGTATATACGCAAAAACCAAAAGTCAGTGCATACAGAAGCATGCATAATATATATATATATATATATATATATTAATACATGCGTATATACATGGAATAAAAAGAAAAAAAAAAAAAAAAAAAGAGAAAAATAAATATACTCAAATACACACGCACACTCTGAGAGGCATGAGCAGTGCAGCGGGCCTTTTGTTGTCGTTTTCCCACACTCCCTTCGTCTTGTTGCATTCATGGTGGGTTGTTGATCATCGCGGTGCAAACACCAAATGGCGTCAATAGCAACAAAAAGAACAAAAACAAAATTTCATGGCATAGTAAGATAAGAAACAAGCAAACAACGGCACACACACATCAACACAAAACAAAAGCCATTCCACGTATACAAAATCTCGCTGAAAACAAAACAAAAAAAAAAAGGTAAAAAAAAAAACGACTTGAAAAACAATGACGGAAGATGATCCACGAACAGCCAAAAAAAAAAAAAAAAAAACGGCAGATAAATGGGAATACATAAATAAAAATCGTTGAGCTCAAATAAATTCATGGTAGAAAAATAAAGGGATACAACAACACGCATGCAAACAAAAAAAAAAAAAAAAAAAGCAAAAAAGCAAAAAAAAAAAACCTTCCCTTTTTTCCCCGTTCTCCTGGCTGGGGGGAAGGATCCTTAGATCCGTCATGTTGATATGGAAGAAGAAGCAAAGACATTTGCCTCAAAAAAATGTGCCTATTTGTCTGCCAAGCTGTCATATTTTTTGTCTGTCTTTACTTCGTTGTATGTCCGAATTCCACAGACACAAGTACACAAACGATACAAAATCCGCTCGCCTTTAGATATATATATATATATCTAATATATATATATATCTTTTGCTTCGCTACTCCCTCAATTTCTCCCTTTCCAGGCCGGTGCACCCCTTTCTGTTCACCCCACTCCTTCATCGACTACCGGACCTTCTTTCAAAAACACCACTTGTCGTTGCTACCGCCGTTGGATGCATTCCCCAGAAGAAACGCGTTGCCGGCTCTTGAGTCAAATGTGAAGCCCAAGTAGTGCTGCACGCTAGCACCAGCGCCACCGTTTCCAAGATGCGAAGAGCTCTCCATTGTGGGAGAACTAGGGCGCTCCTCAACTGAATCGCTATTCGTGCCCGTCCGACAAGTATTGCAAAGGCCTGGGAGTATATTTGTTTCGTGGACCACAGAGTCACTATTTAAAAATTCCGTTTTCTTTGGTGACCTTGGCGAGACGGTGGCGGTGTACAACATTGGGGAATACACTGAAAGGAGGGATAAGCGGCGGCTCTCCATGTCTTCACTGCATCTCCCGTTATCATATTCGCTGTCAGTCTTGTGGGAGTTCTTTTTGGGACTCTTGAACGCAAATGTTTCATATGAAGCATACATAGGGGGCTGCTGAGGAACAGTTGGCGATGCCCTCGCGCTCGCCACCAACTGTCGAGAAAATTTTGTTGCTCTTTTATCTAATAAACTTCGCCTCAATCGCT